CTTTCTTCACTTTCACTTTCTACATTATTTCTTTCATCTCAAGGAGCATTATCAATGTGCATCTCTTAATCTGTTGAGGCATAATTAGTTTCATTGTCGTCTTCTTCATTATCAACATTGCTAGTTGATTATGCATTATCTTTCTCATGGCTTTTGTCCCACCCTTAACCTTTGATTCTTCAAATACTACATAATTGCTTATTAAAATTTTATTCTCTATTAGATCATAAAGCTTGTATGATTTGGATTATTCACTCATTCTCAAGTGCACACACTTCATGTTTTTGGCATTTAACTTACTTCTTTGCACATCAGAAATCTGCATAAAAGCTAGACATCCAAACACCTTGAAATGATGATGTGAGGGCTTTACACCACTCTAAGCTTCATCTGGAGTCATTTCCTTCACATATAAAGTATGATATCTATTAACTATATAGGTTGTTCATTTTTCATCTTCATGTTATAAATTCTTAGGAACATTCCTTCCTGCCACCATGCTTCTGATCACATTCATGAGTGTCCTGTTCTTCCTTTATGAAATCCATTTTGTTCTAGAGTGTAGGTAGTGGTCAATTGTATCTTGTGGTGATATGAAATCCATTTTGTAAACATCAAATGCACTAGCCTTTTCATGCATGAAATAAATATAATTTCCATACTAAAGTCATTTGTAAAGGTTATGAAGTACTTACTTCCACCATTGGATTCAGGTTTGATAGGTCCACATACATCTGAGTGAACCAACTCAAACTTTGTTTTAGCTTTCCATGATGCATACTTTGGCATGGCTTCTCTATGTTGTTTTCTCATCAAGAAATCAGTGCAAGTTTCTTCCATTTTTTCAAATTCGACATCCCTTTTACTTTTCCTTTCATGATCAATGTGTTAAGACACTTGAAGATCAAATGATAATATCTACAATGCCACAATTGTGTGTCAACCTCTACAGTAGCTTTCAAACACATTGGTCGGATTACAGGAGCAAATACAACAAGCATCTTGTTGGATTATATTTGAGTGGGCATGATCATGCCCTTATCATGGTGAAATATCCTGCAGCCACCATTTTTGAACACAATGGTGATATTCTTTTGTATTAATTAGCTAAAACTTAGGAGATTGTTCTTAAGGCATGGTAGATAATAAACATCAATGATAATTTTGAATGATATCATTCATGTAAAGCTTCAAATTACCATTTTCCATCACTTACATATTTGAGTCTTCTCCCGCCTGACAGATTCCCTGAATTTCTCTTTGAAATTGAGCAACCATTCTTTTGTTCATGCCATGTGATTGCTACACCCCGAGTCAAGAAACTAAATTTCATATTTGGTCTTTGTATTGAAGCATTAAATTTAATCCCTTTTATGCCTTCATCTACCATGACCTCAAATTTCTCCACGTCCCCTATCACACATGTCACCACCACCACAACCATAATTTGTGATCTCTAACACTTGTTTTTCCTTCTTATCTTAATCAATCTTCATTCTTAGTTCATGCACAAGAAGACTTCTCTACAGTTCATCAATGGAGAGAATTGTATCACCGTTACATTATTCAATGGAACAAACCATGTAATTTTTCCATTTATATATTTTATGCTGTCTTACTCTTTTTATACTTTTTTCTCTTAATGATTAAATTTATCCTCATTTGTGTTTTTCATGTCATAGAAAACACATAACAAAAAAGAATATGTTTTATTATATTGTTGTAGCTTTTAATGAGACAATTTTATAAGAAAAGAAGGGAGTAAACTCAATCTCTAAAATTGGATAAACCATTGGTTTTTCACAATTTCACTAGTTTTATTACTGGTTTTTCTGTTTACTTGCCAATTCTGAAACAATGATTTTTGTGATTAAATGGATTAAACTAAGTTCCAATTCACATCTCAAATGGTCAAACCAGCATATTCAGTCTAGTTTTTATTACCTTGATATCATAATCCATTGATACCTTATTGACTAATAAAGATTTTAAGTCAATCATTTTCTATCTCATTGTCAATTTCGACCAACACACACTTAAAAATCATTTTGAAAGTTAAATATATGTTTAAGTTAAGTCAAGATCAAATACATATTGTAGTTCTTTAAATTGGATGTTTTTAACAAGTTAGTCATAAGATATTTTGATATCATTATTTAATCTTTTTACTCTTTAAGCATTTATTTCAACAATTTTTTTAAAATATTTCTTATTTAAAAAATGATGTATTTGTTAATTACACAACATGACAAAAATGACGGGTTTAACTCATTTAAATGTATATAATCATTGAATCCTATATATCTAAAGTGTTTCTTACATTGATGAAGACACATGAACTTTTGTAAAGATAGATAATTAATTAAATTTTTAACACACACTCTTCTTCATGTAAGTTCTAGTAATTTTTTATGTACTATTTCATTAAATTTTGTAAGTTTTTTAAATGTTTGATGAAGTTATGAGTTTTTGAGATAAACTTAAACTTCAATTGAGTGTTTTTTAAATTAGACTTTTAAATGTGTCTCTTGAAAGTTGTGTAGTTTTTGAATTAGTTAGTTTTTGAAACAAAATTAAATTTCATACTCATAACTTTTAGTTTGTTTCAATGTTTTCTTTTTAAAAAAATATTAATTTAAAATGACAAATATATAAACATAAAATAGACTTAGAAAAATTACTTTTAAGTCTGTAAAGCAAGTGAGTTGAACTTAACGAGATGAACCGAATAGTTAGTGAACTGTTAATGAGTCGAGTTTGAGCTGAAAAAAAGTTCGTGTCGAGCTCGAATCGAGATTTGAACTGAAAAAAGTTCATGTCGAACTCGAACCGAGATTTGAGCTGAACCAATTCTTAACGAGTCGAGCTAAGTTAAGGCGAGTTCGACTCGACTCGACTCATTTCCAGTCCTAGGACACATAAAAACAACTACATTTTATTTTTGAAACTCTATTTATTGTATTTTTTTATGATTAATTTTTCTTCTTTTTATTGTAGACTTGATTTTATTTTTGTTTTTTGATGATGGGTTCCTTCTTTTATGGCATTCAATAGTTTATGGTAAGTACGTGATTAAATATTGGTAGTGAATGTGTGACAAAAGTTATTGAATTAAAACAAATATTAAGAGACGTGAATAATATACAATTATACATAGTTGGGAAATAATGTTTTTGCCAACAAGCATTTTGCAATCAAAATAATATTTTAATGAGAAAGTTTTTGCATTTCATACCAATTAGGTACCGTGTTTAATTAATTTTTTTCTAATAGATTTTGACATTATATTCTCAACCAATTTTTCTATGAAATTGAAAGAAATATTAATCAAGAATAGGAGATTTTGGACACTAAAATCTTTAAAAGTTTCAGTATTGGCATCCACTGCCAACATTAATGTCATAATAAACTTTCAACAACTTCATGTTCTTTTGTGAAGAATTATTTATTGGGTAATTTTGTATATCAATGTTTTGTTTCTATCATATTTTAGTGTCCCTGTTGTTATTATTCTAAAAATAATAACATTTTAGTCCTTGCATTTAGGGTCGGCCCCAACATTTTAGTGTCCCAGTTGTTATTTTAAAAATAAGGCCTTTAATAAATAATAGATTTTTAAAAATAAAATAAAATCAATTATTAATAAATAAATATTGAACAACTTAACATTTAAATAATAATTGCTTCTTGGTGTTGTGGTAGAGTAAGATTTTTATGATAGCGGTTGTGTGTTCGAGTCATTAACATTTTTTGTGAGAATAAAACAATTAAAATCATAAAAAATCAAATTCTCATATTTAAACAAGGACCCTTACATTGCAAAAAGCATTTATAACGAATCGTGCAGGGGATTTTGGTTTCTTATTAGGAATTTTAGGTTTTTATTGGATAACCGGTAGTTTGGAATTTAGGGATTTATTTCAAATATTCAATAACTTAATTGATAAGAATGAGGTAAATATTAATTTTGTTACTTTGTGTTCCCTCTTGTTATTTTATGGATCCGTTGCAAAATCTGCCCAATTCTCTCTTTATGTATGGTTATCAAATGCTATGAAAGGTCCTACTCCTATTTCTGCTCTTATACATGCTGCGAATATGATAAGACAAATATGTCCTTGCTATTGACATCAACTAACAATTTCATATTCATTCTCTTTATTTGAGCCAACTAAAATTTTCAATATTTGAATTTGTAATTAATCATATATTAATCTTCTATAGCAATATATAATAAGATATAAACTTTCGGTGTATTTTTCTTCCATTACCTTTTACAAGTCTGTTTTTATATAATTCTTTAATGATTTTATTATTTAAATGTTTGTTTTTATTTTACTCTCTCTTTTTAGTGTTTTTGTTTTATATTGTCGAACTTTGTCATTTTCTCTATTAGTTAATTATTGCTTTTATTTTAGGTACATATGGAGAGTATAAGAAAATTATAAGAAATTTTATGAGTTGATTAATAGAGCTTATTTTGAAAAAATTTAGCGAATAAAAGACTAATTTTTACCATTTTGTAATTATCTATTCCATCACTAGACATCATTATGTTATTATGGACAAATGCATATCACAAAATTAAATTATTATAGACAAATACATATTGTAAAACTTATTATACAAATAATAATTTAAATTAAGTGTAGAATTAAATAAAAAAATATGTTTATGTTCTGACGCATATGCACATTAAAGAAAGCGAACAAACGTGCCCGTTTGGACGCTAGTAATAATATAAATAACATACCTATCAATTTTTTTGTCACATAGTTCATTTAAAAAGTTAAGAACATACACTTACACATGCTAAAAGAATTAACTTGTTACATTACTACATAAAACTTTTAAAAGAATACATAATAAGCATTATATAAGTAGTCAAAAAAATCCTCCATAAGTTAGATTAATTAATTTCATAATATATATTTTCTTCATTGCAAAATCTTTTTATATATTAATGATTCACCCCATACATTTTTGAGACATGTGGTTCATCACATAGACGTGGGATTATTTGATGGGGGTTGCATTGAACTACCCTGATCTACTGAATTTGCATTTGGATCAATGGGTGCATGTTTTTCTATTTCTTTCTTTGCTATTTCTCCTGCTTTTGTCACATGTAAGTCCATGGCTACCTCAGCTTCTTTTGCTAATCTAACCTCATGAGCTATGTCCTTTCTCGCTTGCACAATTTCCTTCTCCGCCTGCATCATAACACAGAGTTCAAAATTTGTCTTGACTAAATAAAATCTAATCGAAACATATTTATTACAGTTAAATTGCGGTTAAATAGACTCATGTTTATTTTGTTTATTACCTTTTCCTCGGCCTTTGCTTCTGCTTTGGCCTTGCGCATGAAATTCATGTCATGGAGTTTATCTTTCACAGCCTGCATTTTTTATTTATTTTTAATAACAAAACAACTTTTCAATGTAAATTAAAAGATGCATGAATTTGAAATCTATATAAAAAACTATTAAATATATAATCATAGGTTCTCATTGTCTCCACTTCTTTCTCTTTCTTATGGTTCTTTTTGGGTGGCAAGTATCATCTTAAAACACATTAAGACTATTTTGTGGATCAAATTGAATTGAAGTTACATGCAGTTTATGGATTACATTGTTTGAATAATTTCATTCACTCATAATAAAAAACAAAATTTCAAGATTTTTTATATGCTAAGAATGACACTTTAAGAATTAATTAACACAATTTTTTTGATAAATAACAAATATTTCATTCAAATGACTAGTGAAATATTGTTCATATATTAATTATTTTAATTACTATTTTAAAAATTAAACAGACTCAGACCCAATGATAATTTAAATATGTAATATAAATAAATAAATAAATAAATAATAATTTTTTATTTATGAATATTGAATATGAATGTTACTTTTTTTAATATTTTTTTAATATTTTTTAATTTTTATGAGTAAATGATTGTCATTGTTATTTAGACATATGATTTCTCACTTGTGATTTACATTTATGTCATAAAAACAAATCTATATGACAATATTTTTTTATAAGCAACTTTGCATTTATGGAAGAAGATTATGGGTACTCTAACTTAATTATAGATAAAGAATTACAATATAGATATCCAATCAACATATGTTGTGATCACAAACAATACATTTCAACAAATCAAGATTGAGAAACAGAGTTCTTGGGTGAACAATGAAATCAGTTAGAACAAAGAGAAAAAGAAGAGAGGATAAAGAAGAAAGAGGAAAAAAGATTAGTGCAAATTGCTATACTATTCACTTTCTCAATATTACAAAAGATTACAAGTGAATAACACAATTGGTCACACTCAACAAACTGAGCTTCTAGCTTATATATAGACTAACTAGATAACTTGCAACCCAAGCTAACTAATCAATTGGATCCATAGCAAAAGGCCCAATTCGACAAACGTTTCGACAACACATATTAGAACATACTTTGACTATAATATGTATCCTTCAACCACATCATGCGACCCAACTTTGACTTCATGCTCGTCTCTTGTTGAAATACATGAAAGTTATTCCTCGACAAAGCTTGAGTTCGACCCAAAATCTTACAAATCTCCACCTTGGATCTAACTCAACAAACAGGGAATAAACTAGATATTATCATGAAGCTTTATCAACTGCATACAGTAGAAAAACTTGCAAGTTGGAAATATCTTGGTGATCATATTAGTAGCATTATCTTCAGTTGAAACCTTCAGCACCTGAACTTCACCACGATCGATTATCTCTCTGATGAAGTGCAGCCTCACATTGATGTGCTTAGTTCACTCATGATAGGCTGAATTCTTCGACACGTGTATTGCATTTTGACTATCATATTTAACAGTGATACTTCGATCTTGAAGTTTTAGCTCATTTGCAAAACCTTCAAGCCAGAATGCTTCTTTCACAACTTCAGTGAGAGAAATATATTCGGCTTCAGTGGTTGATATGTCAACAACCTTCTGAAGCGTTGGTTTCCAACTAATTGTTGTTCCAAACATAGTGAACACATATCCAGAAATAGAATTTCTAGAATCCATACAACCTGCATAATCAGAGTCGACAAATCCTTTGATTTTGATTATGCTATCACCACCACAGGCTCCATCCTAAATCAAAACTCTTTTCAGAAACTCATTTATGTACCTGAGAATCCACTTTACAACTTGCCAATGCGCCTTTCTAGGATTGGCCATATACCTGCTTACAAGGCTCACACCATATGCTATGTCTGGCCTCGTACAGACTATAACATACATCAAAGAACCTACTACACTAACATATGGAATGCTACTCATATAGATCTTTCAGCTTCAATACTCAGACTTTGAGTAGTACTAAGCTTAAACTGAGGATTTCTTGAAGTCACAATAGGCTTTAAATTCGACGTACCAAACTTGTCGAGAAGCTTCCGTAGGTATGTCTCATGAGATAAGCACAACTTCAACTGCTTTCTATCTCTCTGGATGTCAATTCCAAGAATTCTGGTGGCAGCTCCCAAATCCTTCATTTCGTACTCCTTGATGAGTTTAACCTTCACCTCCATTACATCCTCGACACTATTGCTACCTATGAGGATATCACCCACATAAAGCAACAAAATAACAAGTGAATTTCCAAGTCGATATCTGAAGTAAACACAGTGATCAAATTGGCTCCTAGTGAAACCAATATGTGCCATGAACTTGTCAAATCTCCTGTTCCACTAACGAGAAGATTATTTCAGGCCATACAACGACCTATTCAGCTTGCACACATAATCTTCTTTATCCTTTTTTGCATACCCTTCAGGTTGACGCATCAGGATCATTTTGTCTAGGTCACCATACAGAAATGTTGTCTTTACATCCATTTTCTCAAGTTCCAGGTCGAACTTTTCCACCATGTCTAACAATATTTGAATGGATATATGCTTTACAACATGTGAGAACACATCATTAAAGTCGACGCCTTCTTTCTAAGTGAACCCCCTAGCAACCAATCTTGCCTTAAAGCGCTTCGATATCACTCCTTCGATTCCTTCCATGACCTTGAAAATCCACTTACAATTGACTAACCTTGCTCATGTAGGTTTTTCAATCAGCTCCCAAGTATAATTATCATGAAGTGATTTCATCTCGTCATCCATGACTTTTTGCCATTCAGTCGTATTTCGACTCCTCATAGCTTCCTTGTAATCTCTAGATTCTTCCTCAAGTACCTCACTTGCAGATATTAAGGAAAAAGCTATAAGATCTACATAACCAAGTCTCTGAGGTGGCTTGATGACACTTCTCGACCTATCTCTTGCCAGTAGGTAGTCATCGACAATTTCCTCAGCCTCTTCAGCATCTTCCTCTTCTTCTTCGACTTGATCTGGGTTATGCACTTCAACATCACTATGCTCTACCTCAATAGGCATGTCTACCTGTTCCAGCTCCTTTTTAGAGATTTCTGCACTTCGACCAGAATCACCAGTTTTCTTGAACACCATCTCGACTTCATTGAAAACTACACCATGACTTATGATACATCTTCTGTTACCTGGTTCTAGGCACCACAACTTATAACCTTTTACTCCCTCGGGATATCCAATAAACATGCATCTCAGAGCTCTAGGTTCAACCTTATCTTGCCTAATGTGAGCATAGGCTAAACATCCAAATACTCTCAGTTTGTCGAGATCTGATGGCTGACCTGATCAAACTTCTTCAAGTGTCTTCATTCCCAATGCAGTCGAGAGACATCTATTTATCAAATAAGCTGTTACCGAAATAGCCTCCGCCTAAAACACCTTCTTTAATCCAACACTAACAAACATGCATCTAACCCTTTTAAGGATTTTTCTATTGAATAGATTTACATCGAGGTTTTGGGAGAGTTTACAAAAGGCTTTGGGTTCTAAGCTAAGATTGAGTTCGGCTTATCATCTGCAAATGGATGGTCAAACCAAGAGGACAATTCAATCGTTGGAGGATTTATTGCGTGCTTGTGTGCTCGAGCAAGGTGGTGCTTGGGATAGTTATTTGGCGTTAATTGAGTTCACCTACAATAACAGTTTTCGTTCAAGTATAAGTATGACACCATTTGAGGCTTTGTATGGTAGGAGATGTCAAACACCATTGTGTTGGCATGAAACCGGTGAGAGGTCGATAGTTGGACCGGAGATGGTACAACAAACGACAGAGAGAGTGAAGTTTATTCGGGAAAAGATGAAAGCTTCTCAAAGTAGACAGAAGATTTATCGTGACAAGAGAAGGAAAGATCTTGAGTTTCAAGAAGGCGACCATGTGTTTTTAAGAGTTACACCTGTTACGGGCGTGGGTCGTACTTTGAAGTCGAGGAAGTTGACTTCTCGTTTTATTGGTCCGTATCAGATTACTGCACGAGTTGGTGTTGTGGCTTACCGTGTGGCATTGCCTCCGAATCTTTCGAATTTGCATGATGTATTCCATATTTCGCAACTTCAGAAGCATGTTCTGGATCCATCACATGTTATTCCTATGGACGAGGTTAAAGTGAGAGATAACCTTACGGTTGAAGCTTTACCAATTAAAATTTTGGACCGTGAAGTTAAGAAGCTAAGAGGTAAGGATATTGCGCTTGTGAAAGTAGCGTAGGGAGGCGCTTCGGAAGGAAATATAACTTGGGAACTAGAGAGTGGGATGCGAGAGTCGTATCTGGAGTTGTTTGAATCAGGTAATATTTTCGAGGACGAAAATTTCTAAAGTGGAGGAGAGTTGTAACGCCCCAATTCTGATTTCTCATTTTTGTTGAGTCTTTTATTTTATTTCGGTGATTATTATTTTACTCGTGAAATTAGTGTGTTAATATGTTATGTTTGCATATTATGTTATTCTATCGTTTTTGAGAGTTTTCGGAGAAATTAGGTTGGAGGGTATTTTAGATATTTCTTAATTAATGTTAGGTTAGAAATTTTGTGTGAGAAAATAAATTATTATATATTTTGAGAGAAAAAGTAATAGAAAGAATTAGAATAGAAGGATATAAGAGAGAAAGAGGAGAGAAAAGAGAAATAAAGAAGAAAAAGGAGAGAAAGAAAGAGGAAGAAGAGAAAAGAGAAGAAAAAGAGGAAAAGCTTGGAAATCTTCAAAATGAATTTTAGGAATCGATTTAATCAGGTAAGGGTGTGAAATATTATTATTTCATCAATGTATATCATTATGTATGTGTTTGTTTGGATTGTTTTGGTTGTTTTCCACATAATTCCATTTTAGGTCGAATTGGTAAAATCGATAAAAATAGATGTTTTTACGGTTAGAATTCAAAATAAATTGTGTAGTTTAGTCGAGGAGTGTTAAGCTGAGACTATTGGAACTTGTTTGATTAAATTCGGGTGATTTCGTGACTTTTTGACATTTTTGGATAATTGAGGGTTTGAGTA